ACTTAGATTTTAATTATGTTTTATGATTCTTTCACAAAATGTTCCCTTGACTACTTTCACGGCTACAAACAAAAGAAATATAGGACTGAAACATTGAAATAACCCATTGTGTTGAAATATAATGTGGATTTTTTGAAAATTTTTTTCATTATTTCAATCTCTGAAAACTTGGTAAATTTTTTTGTAATGTAGATATAAACAACATTTTTTTAGTGTCGAAAAAAGAAAAAAAGAAAATGTTAACAAAATTTTATAGTTTTTCAAAAAAAAGAAGAAACAACAACAAAAAAATCTAACGAAAAACTGGAGACAGGAAAAATAATCTAAATGTGTTTTGCAACTTTTGTTTGTTTTTTTATACAATTTTATTTCTTAGTTTATGAAATAAATTTGACTATGAATTCAAATATTCTTTGATAATAAAGAAATAGTTCGGAAAATGTATCAACTATGTTGGTTGAAATTTATCAATTGAATAAATTATAAAGAAACTGATAATGTTAGAAAAATGAATGAATGGATTGGTTGAAGTTAGATTTACCAACATTGGATGTCAAAGTGTTGAGGGTTTATGTGTGAGATTGAAGGTATTTTGTTCCAGTGCTATTTTCAAAATCATGGGTAAGCACAGTTGAGAAGTTACATAATAGGACGAAATGGTTATTCAGTGTTTCCAGATTTTCAATGGTGTTCTAGCTTAGATCGACTCGCAATTTCAACTGTGAAAAAGAATAAATGTATAACTTTGGTAGTTTATTTACACAAAAACTTCTTACTAACTATAAATTAGATCATTTCATTGCTGAGTTTTCTGAACTAAATGGTTTGACTGTGAATTACTCATTGTTGTTCTGGAGTATATCCACAGCATCAAAAATATCCACCTTGTAAGCAAGGATAGCCACTACTTTGTGAAACGGGATGAAGTTTTAATTCATTTTGTATTGTTTGTTTGAATATTCCCATTGATGTTTAGGACTGCAATTGATCAGTCGCTTATTGGAACCTGTGCATCCTGTGCGGATTGCCTTAATATTGCCTTAAGTCGCAATCATCATAAGCAAAGATTCATGGTAGTCATCTCAATTGCATTTGAGGCTTATTTCATTATTTGGTGTGCTGAACAATTTGAAATATTATATGTTAAGTTACCTACGTAATGGGAGTCATTTCATCTCAGTTTTATTTTGAAAATCTTGAGTTAGTCTTCAACAACTAGTGAAAATGAAAATTTTTTGCGAAATGTTCAGAAATTTTTATCATTTAACGCAGTATACAATTGATAGAAATTTAGAAGCTTTATTTTCTAGGTTGTAAGTAATCGCTATGAAAGCGTAACATAATCTCAGGAGAGTGACTTTTTCAAAAATATAAAAAATATTTCGATTACGATCAGGAAACTCAAGGCAGATAAATTCATTTAGATTGAAAAATGAACAATGTTTCAAATACAACTTCCGGTCGATCAGCGAAATCCGAGACATGTGTTTTGTCTAATTTAAAATTTTCCAGCCCAATGACTTTAAATCTCACTAATAACTTTCATCATGAGTCTTGACTCTATTGGTTATCACCAGGAAAAAAGGCGTTATCCACCATGATTCTGAGCTCAGATAACCGCTAACATATCCAAAGTGCATAATATTCATAATTTTCAAGGGTTTTTACTTTCTTTACGTTCATTTACAAGACTAACGTTTGTACGTCTTGATAAGTGCAATCGAATCGTGAGTGGATGACTCTACATTGACTGTAGTTAAAAATTGGAGTAAATCTTCAAAATGTTGAGATGTGGACACATTATATTCCATTGAATACTTTCAGATAGAATGAATCATATACCCTGGCTTCTAATTATGGCAAAATACAAATATTTAATAAAACTTATTACTACATGCAGTTTCAACATATATGCTTTCTGTGCACTATGACAACAAAGGCATAAAATATTTACTCTCAGGTATTATTGATATCAATTTATTATTGGATTACTGACTAAGGACAATATCTAGTCTTTTATATTTACTAAGGAATTAAACATTGAATGAAGTTTGTCTATTACGTCAATTAGGTAATGTATTTTCACATTTGCTAACAGATTTTACATTTACAAAAGATTTCTGCCCATGGTGAATCAACTAAAACACGAAATATTTTGAATATGTGTGGACTCCTTATGAAATCATTATAAAATGCATAACATTACTGAGTACTATGATAACTTTAATCATCAAATGAAATTGTCTAAAAGACTGTTGAAAAAGAGATAGCTTTAAACTGTTACTATCAGTTCAAGATGGTAATCGGTTTACCAAAACTACTTAAGTAATTGGAGAAAATATATTACTTTCATGTATATATGTATTTATGTATTTGTATATCATGTTTGGAAATAGGTTGAATGGCTAAATTGATATTAATTTATTGATAAAAATGTTTCTACATTCCAAGTTACCCCAATATCATTTTGATGAATTTTAAAAATAGATTAGTTTTTTAATATCTGGATAAGAACGAGAGATCTATCATGATGTCACCACTTCCTACAGCTAAAAAACAACAGATCAGAAGTATTTTTATACTGTCTTTTAATTTCAGTAAATTGACTTAAATAACGATTAGTAATTTAATTTCTTTGACTACATTTACATATATGGGTTTCATAAAAAAAGTATTAACTTCAAACCAGCTTAATTTTATTAAGACGTAAGTCCAGACTTCTAGAGTTTGATTTATGAGACAATCATAACTCATCATTGGAAACCCTAGATTACATAGTTCGAAATTGTTTGATTCTGATTTCATATCACTAGATTTAAAAACTATATACTGTTAGTATATAAGAACTTTCGTCTAAATTGTAGCGAATAGTTTCACAGTATTTGGACACCGAGTTGATGTAAGACATTAAATAGGAATAATATATTTGTAAAATCTCAGTGAATGAATTTGAAGTAAATCCAACGTTTCGCCTGACAACGTGGTCCAAGCTTTCTCAAGGAAAATTATCTAAGTTATATGTTAATGAATACGCTTACAAAAATTTTTGGAAGCATTTCGTGAAATAATTTGATACGTAAATGTTTTTTTATATATATGATGGTATTTATAAGGCATAAATGGTTTTGGAGGTTGTATCCGAATGATACTCATCTTCTTATCAGATTAGCGTTTAAACGTTTGTTTATTAAAACAATTATCATCACATGTTATCATTGGTCAAAAAGTAAATAGGTTCTCGCAATTTAAATTTTGTTAAGCTCCGCTCTTTATTTGTTGTCAACGTTCAAGACTAAAAAAATTCTAGACAATGAAGTGTTTTAGCTTGATCAAAACAACAGTCTAACTAGTAAAAGAATACTACATTATAATTACTTACTGCTTTAAAGGGTAGAGAAACACAAGTTATTTACAGTGATTAAAATTTATTCAAAAAATCATTGAACTCTATCCTGGGCATTCCTTTCCAGTTGTCTACACTTGCTATCCATTCTTTTCATGTGTCCTTCGGTCTTCCTCTTTTCTTTTTTCATTCAGAAATCTTAGCACTTGCCTCATATTGCAGATGACGATGTCAGTAATTTATATTCTATCCACATCCATAGTCTGTTTCTAATTTCCTTTTCAACTGAAACCTGGTTTGTTTTCTCCAACAGTAAGATATTGTCGATGATATCCAGTCAACGAACACTGAGTATCTTGCGTAGACAATTGTTTATAAATAATTGTACTTTTTGATTATAGTTGTAGTAGTTCTTGAAGTCTTAGCTCGATACAGCAGAACTGTCTTGTTGTTCGTGTTGAACATTGTGACTTTGATATTGATTGACAGTGGTTGTGAGTTCCATATATTCTTCATTTGTGGGAATGCTTCCCTTGCTTTGCCAACATAGTAAACACAATAAAAATGTATAAATTTGTTAAGATTTATTTATTATTTTAAATAAAATGATTATATTATCTTAATCAATTTCTACTGACAAATAACGAAGTTAACTGACCAGCACGGTTATTTCGCATTGATAGAATTACTATCATTGTCAATAATGATGTGCAGTCATATATTATGAATATGTTGAACATAATTTTTTTAATATAAACTATGGACAGTAAATCTGTATTTACAGGATACTGATTGTAAAAAATTAATTCATGTTCTAAAAACAAATCATTTAACTAAATAGGTAACTATTAACTTTGTTTAGAAAATAAATGATTTAAGCATATTGAGATTTAGTAGAGGAAGGTTTTGCGGAGAATTTGGTGTTTTATAGTTGAATACATGATTCAATTGAAGCCAGAGCACCATGGAAAACCTGGAAGCACTAAGCGGCCGTTTCGTCTTATTGTGGGACTCCTCAACACTGCACATCCACGATCCCGCCTCTCGAGATTCAAACCAGGGACCTATCAGTCTTGCGCGCGTGCACTTAAATTCTAGAACCACTTAGTCGGCGTCCATGGTGTTAATGCCTAACTTCAAGCAATCTACGAAATTTAGCCACATATCCACCACTGTCTTCAGTGACTTACTATTTAACAACGGGTCCTTCTAATAATGATCGATTGCTCACTAGTGACTGGCTCCAAGAGGTATTTTCCGGAGTTCTAGTGAAAAGCAGTGACCAGTGGATTTCACCGGGTCTGTTGTGAAATAGTTACTCACTGAAAACATTGGTGAATGTGTCGCTCAATTTTGTACATCGGTTAAAGTTAGACAATAACAACGTTGGATGCCGTCCGGTTCAGTGGTTCTAGAGGTTAGGCGCTTTCGCGCGAGACTGAAAAGTCCTGGGTTCGAATCTCGCGAGGTGGGATCGTGGATGAGTTCCACAAACGGCTGTCCATTGCTTCTACGTTTTCCATGGTAGTCTAGCTTCAATTGACTCAAGATTTCAACTATAACATTTAGATTCACTGAAACTATTGTTTTATTTTCTTTATATTATCTACTTATTTATTAGTAACTAAATGAATTATTTAAATGTTTCACATTACAGAAGTGGCTATTTACTTCTATTATCATATAACCGAAAACTAAGAAAAGAATGTTTTAAATAAGAAAATGTGGACAAAATTGAAATTACATAACCAATGTCTTCAAATATTAATTTCTTTTATATATTTAATTCATTCATATTATAGTAAATATTTATATAATGAATTCATTGATATGAATAAAATACACAATATACAATCAAATTTAACCCAACCATATCAAATCATAATACCAATTAAAGAATCATCAATAATCAATTCTAATTCAATAAATATTAGTGAATTGATGCAAACTTATAATATACAATTAAAGACATCCATAGAGGAAGATGAAGAAGAATCAGGAGGAGAAGGAAATGGAGAAAAAGAGGAAATCGTAAAACATAATAGTCATTCCAAAATTATAAATTTTGAAATTTTAGATATAAGTAGTAATTTATTAGTAGCATATCAACAATTAAATCAAAATAATTTATTAAATATTATTGATTTAAATTCAATGAATGGTATTATAAAATTTAATATCCCATTAGATCGTGAACGCATATGTAATGATATACAAATGACTAATAAACAATGTAAAATTATATTATTATTAGCCGCTTATAAACAATCTATTCAATCTAATCAAATACAAACAATTACAAATCATAATTATAATCAATATCATAATGAATTAATATGTATTGAATTAATTATAAATTTATTAGATATCAATGATAATTCACCATATTTTCCACAAATTCCTGGTATGGATAATCATCCTAGAATTATAAATATTGAAGAAGAATGTCCTATTGGTATAATGATTTCATTACCAATAGCTAATGATATAGATTCAATTGAAAATGGTATTATTAAATATGAATTATTACCAATTACTACAACAGTAGATATATTACAATTATTTGAAATTGTACAATTTAGAGGATCAAGAATTCAATGTGAAGATATGTCTAGTAATGGAATACATAATTTTAATTATACTTATTTATTAAATCAAGAAACAAATAATGATTTATTTCCCATAATACCATGCTTGAAAGTTGTTGGTAGATTAGATCGTGAACAAGTATCACGTTATGCAGTACGTCTTGTTGCAATAGATACTGGTGGAAGAAAAGGTGAAATAATTTTGCGTATAATAATTCGTGATATTAATGATCATGCACCATTATGGGGTGATAAATTAGAAACTGATTTATCAACTAGTAGTTTATTATTTATGGGATCAGAAAGAATTACATTCCAATCAAATGAAATGATAGAAGATAATGGATATGGTAGAATAATTGTAAAGTATACTTTTCAAATTCCTGAATGTACTAATCAAAGACAATTGTTACGTTTAAATGCAAATGATATGGATGAATCAGAAAGTGATTATGGTCGGATAAAATATCATTTAAATGATCAAACACAAGATTTTGAACAATTAAGGCAAAGAATTTTTATTTCTGGAGATTATATTTACCTAACTGATCTTGGTTTAAAAGATTTGAATCAAGCTAATTTAACCATAATTGTAACAGCAACTGATGGTGCCGGTAAAAGTAGTGATGCATGGATACATCTTTTAGTTCAAGATTGTAATGATCATAAACCAATGATATTAGTAAGTTATAATTGATAAAGAACTTTAATTGATTACATATTTATTAAGAAATAATTACACGTTTCATGTCTTAGTAGATTCATTGGATAAAGATCTTAAGCAGAATCTTCAAAAACGAAGAACATTATTCTACTGTTTAAACCATGTAATTTTAACTTTATAGATATTGTACCACATTAGACTGCATAATAAATCAATTAAACAGTGCTTATTAAATTCGCTGGTGTTAGAAATTAGAGAGTAGATTTTTTATTATATACTACTTATATACTTGTGAACTAATCATTGATGGAGCATGTAGTTGGGGGGAGGGTGTAAAAAACAGTGAAGGTAAGAAGTGCCCTAAACTGAGTCATGTCAGGAAATTAAAATTTTTCTAATCTTTAAGATATCACATCTACATTATTTTTGCTATTAGCATTTTAAGTAGTGTTGAATTTATTTTAAAAAATATCAAGTTTTATCTTGGTATTTGCAGACTCAGTAAGTCTTTCAGTTAAATTCGGTAAACTGATGAAAAAATATACATATTGTAGGTAATGGTTTATAATAGATTGCTGGTGTAGTCAAAGTAATTAGGATAGGAATGACCTTGTCTACAAGAATAATCAATAAAATCTATTTATAACCTTCTAGGAAAACAATTCGGATATGTAACAAAAAGCGTTCACAATTATAAAAATAATTTCCGTTGAGTCGTTTAGAGAAAAATAAGTAAAAAATATAGAAATATTTCATTTTAGTTTCACATCATGGATCTACAATAATGCGTGTCCGCTCGACAAATAAATAATTAAATCATTACTAGTCACGTTATAACGTGTTTTACACATATTCAAATGTATCTAGGAAAATAATGAGTGACTGAGACAATAGTTGATATGTGGAGGTGAATAGGATAATCATATTGTTAAATATTATTTAATAAATAGGTTGAAAACCATGATTGTGTAAAACATCAGCTCACAAACGCCCTGGTATGTCTGAGGGTGTTGACAGTCAACTCTTCCTCTCGAAATGCTTCTGCATGGCCACTCATATGAAGCCACTACAACAGAAGTCCTACTCACTCTCCTTTTGCGGCAGAAGGCGTTTTCGTGAAATCGAGAGGGCGAAAGCCGTATGTCCAGGGCTTTAACTGGGTCAGTCGATTTGAAGGATCCATCCATAGGAGTTGGAAAACCCTGATTCTAAACCCATTGTGAACATGAGCTTCATGATTCTGAGGGGACAAATGGCATATGAACTCATTATTAGTCAACGGCGATCATGAAACTGGGTCTCCTATTGTTAGACCTTTAAGTGGAAAGCTCGGGGTGTGATTCCTTAGAAAACTCACCTGCTTTGGTTTGTGTACACGGGCAGTACTCCAGCCCTCACACAGATCAAAGAATGAGATGTGGCACATATTTATTTGTGCCTCCCCATACCATTTTTTAAATGTGTTCAAACAAATCGATAAGTAAACGATGACAAACCTAACGGACTACGTAATAACAATAAAATGACGACCATTTCAGTTTAGGAAGTTAGTTGAAAAATGGAGTATATTAGATTGGTTGTAAATTGTAGGTCGTTGTGACAATTAGGTTAATGAGAGCAGCTGTATGAATTTCATTTAAATATAGCGCTTCACTTTCCTTAGTTCAAAAAATTGGATGTTTTATTTACTAAACAATGTAGCCATTTAAACAATATTTTAATAAGATAACAATTAAATAACATCAAAGCAATGACTTTATCCTTTATTCAGATAAATATATGCATAATGACAAGAAAAAAATATGATTATAACGCTCTAAATAAAAATAAAACGTCGGTCAAATAAGCTTAAGTTTACTGTGAAGGCATTCATATAGGAAAGAATAGTTGATAATAATCGAGGGGTTTATCCAAGATGAGAACTAATAATAAACACAGTTGACTAAACACCACAAATCATCAACTAGTATAATCAACCATTAATAAGGAGAAAAACAATTTCTTTGAAATTTAATTTAGATTTCGTAAGTAATCAACTAATTATTTGAAGGAATACTTGAAAGAACTTCAACGATAACTTTAAATTCAAAGACTTAATGTAACGTTTTCTTCTATGGAAAACGTCATCCAATTTTCGAATATCTAATCGTAGATATTTTTTCATAGCAAAAATAGTTAGAAGTAGTCAATAGACTTATTTTATGCAGTTGCAGATTTTTGATTTAGTTTTAAGTGGATTTTAACCCCTCACCGACGTTTGTTAGAGAACCATTAAAAATTACGAAGACCTGATATAAGCAACATTGATGAATAATGTCCGCATAATTGGTTGATACCTGACATATGAACTAGAAGCTCAAAGAAATCATACTGTGTTCTTCGTGGTAGAGGCAAAATGAAACTAGAAAGGAGTATTTAATTTTTCCTGGTTTTCATGATTCTCTAGTTGATAACAATCAGATTGATTTAGATTTAAATCAATCCTCAACAATTAACATCATCAAGAAGTTGCATTGTTAAAACTATCATTACGTTAATTAGTAATTTATCTATGTACAGTGTTCAACTACTCTTTTCTCTATTTCGATAAACTGTATTTACAATTAAATGATCGAACTAGATAAATCCTTGTACCATACCTGGATTAATATCCAAAAAAACTATCAAAACACTCTGATCATAAAATTACTTGATAACTTCCTCGTCGTAGTCTCGCTCTACTATCTATAACTTGACACCTAGTTTCATCATTCTTTCTGTTCTTACTCTTTATTCATAATTGGCAAAATAATATTTTAGTCAGCTACCAGTTTCTTTTCAAACGTCTAAACTTTCCAATTTGGATATTTTGCATTACCTTATATCTTATTAATAACTTTAAGATTACCATGTGAATGAGAAGTCTCTAGATATCTTCATAGCATTATAGAGAAAAACGGCATTACCCTGAAATGCTCTAAAACTTGTATCTGTAATGAAGAGAAGCACAAAAACTCAAATATATGGTGAAAATAGAAGCCTACGAGATAGTGGATTATAGAACATTTTGAACATTTATGTATTTCAAATAATCAATTTACGGTGCCAAGTGGATGGAAACTAATGTGTTAATTAAAGGCTAGCAATATGTAACCATATTTTCGGTAACTATAAGGAAGAAGTATGCTTGAAATCTAATTAATCTCCTGAGACAATCAAATATGCTGTTAGTTCTACGGAGCATATATATAGCATATTAACTGATGATTATTTGTTCATTAAAATCTGCACACATATCTATGATTAGTTTATTTTCTGTATCAAGTAAATGGTAACAAAGAAACGCAGAATTGTTAGTAAAGCAGATTTTGTTACTATTTATAATGAAATACTACTTATACATATATTAGTAGAACTAAATATGAAATCATCTAGGAAAATTACATCTTTCAAAATCTTACTAATATTATTTAACTAATATGTTGCTAGGCTTTTGAGTATTTTTAAAAAGAGGTAAATTGCTGAAAAACTACGTAAGATACATATATAGAAATTGATTATTGCGCTCTTATACAACGAGTAAACTTACACAAAGACACTACAAAGATAGAAAACAGTTCAATGAGTTGCTGTTAGTCAATGTATTTTGGAAGTGAATTTTAATGTAATCATATAATATGTATAGTAGTTATAAACCTTCTTAGTAATGATTCAAAGAAATATATGAATGTTCATTTTCAAATGATTCTATTTTCTTTTTAATAGATGAGAAATACTGAGTTTTCACTTGTAGAAAATACTGTGGGTAAACAACAATTAATAAGTTTAATAACAGTACGTGATTTGGATTTGACCACATCACCCAATTCGGAATTCTATTGCAGTTTAAATGATACAACATATCTGACACTTTACGAAGTAATGTCTGGACCAAAATTAAATGATCAACGCTATCAGGAAAGTAATTTAAACACTATTAATAAACATGATGGATTCTTATCTCATAGACATAATAATGAAGATGAGAAGAATACTGGTTTCTTTCGTCAAGGAAGATGGGTTGTTTATCGACTAGAATCTAAAAATTCATCATCATTTGATCGTGAAGCAACACCATACTACAATGTACTGTTACAATGTTCTGATAAAGGTTCACCAATGCTTACATCAAATCGGCTGATAACAATTAACATCCTTGATGTGAATGACAATGCGCCTATCTTTATTATGCCTAATCAACTACAATCAGCTAATTTATTTCCAGTCAATGCAGAGAATCATAAAAAACTATTTTATCAATCAATTTCATCATTATCTACCTCTGTTCGTCAAAAAGCGGATCAGCCATTCATTTATCATTTTAATCTACCAGAAAATTCTTTACGTGGTACAATAGTTGGCAGTGTTCACGCTATTGATCTAGATGCTGGTGATAATGGTCGAGTAACGTTTCAACTAAAAAGTCAAATTCCATTTTATTTAAATAAACCAATTTCATCAAGTACAAAAAATCATAATACAACAGATACAACTGATCACATTATTAATGATAAACAAAATGATAGTAGAAATGAAAAAGAATCAATTAATATGGATCATGTATTCAATTTAGCACCAAATGGTGATATTCAATTAATTGATGAATTAGATAGAGAAACAATAGATCGTTATGAATTACATATTATTGTAAATGATAATGCAAAAATCAATCGATTATCAGCAACGGCTACAGTCATAATTAAAATAGATGATGTAAATGATTGTAGACCGGAATTCTTTGGGGATTACATATTTGAAGTAAGTTAAAATATGGTTTAAAAATGGTAATGTTTGTTCTAATCTTCATCATAATGGAATAAAACTTATCTTTAGTGAAATTTATGAAGATACATTATCGAGAGTTGCTGAAATGTATATTAAAATATTTAACTGACACTATTTTAAAGTGATAATAATAAACATATTGTTTGTTATATCCAAATGAGTAGAAAAACTGTATTTCTGACGTTTCATGAGGTAAGACTTATTAGGATTTTGATTGTACTAAAAATATTTTTCATTATTTCCTTTGTACTATTCAAACTATGTAAACGTGTGTGTGGATTGGTTAGATTTGGACATTAACACAGTTGGATACCGGCTCAGTGGTCTGCAGGTTAAGTGTCCGCACGCGAGATCAATAGGTCCTGGATTCGGATCTTGCTAGGCGAGATCGTGGATGCTCACTGTTCAGGAGTCTCATACTAGGACGAAGTGGTCGTCCAATGCCTCTAGGTTTTATCCTGGTGTATCCTGATCTTTAATAGACTCACGAATTCAACTAGTAAACTGTGTTAATTTAATTTCGGTTATTTATTTGCTCTGAAGAGGTGCCTTACATTAGGTCACCAAACGTCAGAAATACAATTTTTCTACCCAATCGGATATAACGAACAATATACTTATTATCAACTTTCTATCTAATAATCAATCTTTTGAAACTATCAAATCCGACCACGGTATTGAAACCTATATTTTTTAGTAGGATTATGACGATTTCTGTTATAAATCCGTATAATAACAAACATTTAAATACATGACTTCAAGTTATTATTTTGGTACACATTGAAGTTCACATCTTTAGTAGAATCAAAATAGTGAAACTAGAGTATGAAGCTTGTGATTTTAAACTGAATTATGGTTCAAGATAAAAGATCTAAACTTTAAACAATTTATAATGTAGATAATTTTCTTTTTAACTTAAGCCTTATGAACCATAACAAATAATTACTAACACCAAATAACATTGGTAAATATGATAATAGGAAAACAAAATTTAAGAACATATAAGACCCTACAAATATATTCATTCATTTAATGTCATTATACTTTAATCTTTGTTTGATATAAAAAAGGCATACAATTATTCAGTGCTTCGAGTGATACATATACCCAAATGCTGTTAGCATGGGATATCATGACGTTCATGAGATTGGTTAGACAGTTTTACTGTGAGAACCTCATTAAAATGCTGATGGAAATAGAAGATCAATCATTTAGTTTCCTTTTATTGATAGAGAACAGTAATAACTAAATTTGCGTTGTATTTATCTAGGGTTGATGAAAGCTAAAGACTATTAACTATTGATTCAGAACTTTTTTGAAAATTGACCTTTATGTAAATTAAAATGAGAACAGGGAACTAAATGGAAAGATATTTCCAATGTTATGTCGCTGTCATGACTTCCGTAAATGATGATGTTTAGTGAAGAATAACGAATTCCTTTTATTTGTTGAAAAAAATACTTAGAAGATTAATGTATGAGATAAAGCAGTAATTTCGTGCATATAACGTCTAATTCCCTCGATTCATGAAGACAAGTGAACAGAACTCATTGAATATAATATCTTACTACATTGGAAAATATCTAACCATTAATGTTAAGTAATGTGTAACACGCAAAATTTACTGTGATGATAAAGCTAACTTTCCAAAGTCAGCTAATCTAATCTAGATATCAACTGAACCTAATCAGCACTACACATTGACTGTATAACATGACGTTGGTTATTATTTATTGAACAACTAATGCAAATATCACAGCATTATAGAAGATCGAAAGTATTCTTAATATTTCAGTTTTAACGATTATAACTATGACATGAGGCGGGATATGCTCGAATCCAACGATAAAGATAAGATATGCCTTATGGGTGAATGTCAAATAACACCAACGTTTGGTGCAGGGAATTCTGTACGTTATGTACAACTTCTAAAGATCGAAAACCTACATAAATCAGTTGAAGAACATCACCTTTAACTACGTATTTTGTTCTTAACATAAGTGGTCCACATTTAGTATTCAATTTCTAATGTTTTATTTACAAGCCGTCATTATTAATCATTAGTTGCATGTATATCAGAAGAACGAATGTGTTAAACTGGAACTTAATCAGTCATAATGTCTGTCTAATCGGTGACTACATTTATGTGAAAATAAACAAATCTTGTCAATTACATGGTAGACGAACTAATTTAATAAAACTATTTTATCTTTGAAAAGGTGAGAGATAAACAGTTTTAAATGACTAAATGACATGATTCATGCGCTTTATTCTATTTAACTATTCAATGTTGTGTTTATTCAATAAAGGAGACTATTGCTAACTGAGTACTGAACAAAGTAGTATTTAGTTGCTATGAAAAATGATGGTATAATGACATACTCTAGTTTTGTTTCAACTCGTAAAAGAAACTATCAACGCATTACTTTTAATATCACGGAAGATAACTTGGAAATATATTGCCTGAATAAAAAAGCACACACTGAAATAAAAGTATAACAACTAAAATGGATAACTACACATTGTAAATTGGTCGGTATTTAATGAAAATACGCTGATAGAATATTTAAATAATTAGATTGATTTCCGTCATGAAAATGTGCATTGTATAGTCTTAACGACTCATATTATCTGTCTGTTTATGATAAAAATAAAAACAATGAAAATTAATTATCTATTGAATAAACCAATTTTTCTTTGTTTAGAAAATTATGCTCTTAATACAAGTTCATTCACGTTTAGCTAATGGTAATACATGTTCTAATACCTAGACAATCAGTACGAATTGAAGACACAAATGAAATATACTGTTGTTAATGGAATGCGTTTATTTATTTGATATGGTGAAACTCACAGACTAGCTTAACTGAATCTACCAGACCATAGTTTAAACCTCCAAATTAATGTATAGTGTCTAAATATTTTACCAACGGAATATAAACCAATTACCTGTCTAACTGACTTTTACTAAAACTTTTTATGAAAGGATGAATAACATTGTCTGACATCTTACGACTGTTTATAAAGATAATAACATATATAACGAATGATTGAAACAATAAACCAAACAGAGCATGAATAACTACACTAGTTTCATAAGGAGTAGAATATTATGAGATGATTTGAAATGCAATGAAATTGAAGAGAAAGGTTTTAAACTCATTAGGAAACCATTCAATAATTTACTTATGATATCTTGGGATAACTGGGTAAGCAATGCCTAAGTTAGAAACAGGGTAGTGGGTATGGATGAGAAATCGACTGATAGGGTGTTACATAATCATTAACGTAGGTGATTGATACATGTTTTACGTGACAGCCGATATAAACATAGACTACGAAAATCTCGGAGAGTCAAACCAAAGCGTAGAATCAGTCCTTGAAGTCATAAGAAATTAAACTGAGCTATATCAACAAGTATATACCACTTGGTCGGGGTCCGCGTGATAATCGTAACCAGTGATTGGAGACTTTAAATGACTCGACCCGAAATGATTTGCAACGGTGCAGGTGCATCCATTCTTTTTCTTCCCGCAGATTCTGAATTACAAAATTTCCCATAACTTTTTCACTAAATTATATTTTCTTGAATCATACTTTCGATGTCCATTCTTTTCTATAACCACTTACATTGCTACTCCCTCTAGTACTCTGGGATTTCATATCTCTGTGCTAATGGGGCATTACAAATTGACTGATGTATGTACGTACAAAGTCCTATATTTCGACTCAGTGATCGATATAAGACTAGTTATGCCAAAATATTTTTGATCACTCATTGATTACATCAGAACAAAAGTGTAGGTATGCTATAATACAGTAAATAAATTAATCATTTATAAAATGTTGATTTAAATGGTATTCATCAAATAAATCATGAATTATATACTGTTTTCTTGAACACACCAATAATTTGGGATGTCACTGTGTTTAATACCAGTTTTAGTACAACCGTCATTATAATGAATCGCATAAATTAGGCAAGAAATAATAATATATGTATATACTGTAGTGTGTATAGATGCGTGTATAAAAGGAAGATTAATAAAACTAGTATTAACAACTAGAATCCAAATACGTTGTAAGGTTAACAACGTATCCCTTATTTTTCAATGACTGTAATAGTTTCTTCTTGGATCATTAATAAAACGTACAAGTAAGTATCAAAACTGCATACAAAATCAATAAATCATGAAATCCATTACTATGTCCACCATACAGAAATATGTGAGCCGTCGATGCACATAAGTATTATAGAAGTTTTCGTTTCAGTAGTATGGATTGTAAAGGGAATAAAAACAAAGTGAATATATCGTAGACAATTAAAATGTGTTAATTTTAGTGGGTAAAATAAAGTCCTAATATTAGTGAATAAAGGTTTGAATTATTCAAACGATATTGTTGAAACATGCATAATATTCACTGAATACTGTGACGCTTATTTCCATTTAAAATTACCATTGAATTTCAATATAAATTTGCTCAGTAGTTGTAACTGCTTTCTGCTATTATCTCAAAATGGAAAGAGTTTACTGATACCAAGATTTTATTCAACACGGTTAGGTTCGTTCCTGAAAATGCATATATTGGTTCATCTGCTGTTCTCGGGATTAAGTGAAATATGTTTATAAATTTAAAGAGATCTATGAATTGTTTAAATAAAATTTATGCTCACAACGTATATAGTTAAAATTGCTTAATACAATCATTAACACGCTTTTTATTTAATATCTGTGCTTTCTTATCGTTTGAATTAGATTGTAGAAAGTTACGGTTCATCAACTATTCACCAAATTCTTGGTTCTATAGTAGCTACAGATATGGATTTGGGGCGTAATGGGTCAATAACATATCAGCTTGGTGCCCAACAAGATAATCGGAATAATAATATGAATAACAATCCTAATTCGATGGATAATAAACCACCCAGTTCAACAAACACGTTTGGTTCACGCTTAATACAGGTAATTTTAAGAATGAGTCAGATTAGTTGACTTCATAAGATTTTATGTATGTGAAGTGCCTGCGATCATTCTAACTAGCTTGTAATTTTTATTCAGTTTCTCTATTAGTCTACGTAATTACTGTAACACCCAATCTGATAGAAGGATTGTGAGACTGAATGGTTTTCGCTTACTATCTTGGACTTTATTCCCGTGTTTTACTAGTTCTTTTTACTGATATTCAATGTCGTCTTAATAAATTCAAATTATATTAATTTCCTAAAGATTATAGCACAACTCTTTAATATATAATGAACAACTAAATCAAGGCGAAATGCTTAGCAAGTGATCGACAAGTAATATGAACCAAAAATGTTGAAATTCAGAATCTCAGTTAATGTTATGCGGAACTGTCCAGAACGGAAATTGTGAATTAAATGTTCCAATAAGTCAATGGAGGTACACGTTCCAAGAGCGATCGTACAGATAGCTGATTTATATAATTTCTAACACAATTCCGGAGGTCCTCCCACTATTTAATCAAAGCATCTGTAAAGATAACTAATAAAATGTCATTATCAGTTATACATGTTGATCTAATTTGAAACATCTTGATTAGGCTAGCAGGAAAAATAGGAATGAATCCATTTTAAATTAAATTATTTGTAAACAGTGGCGTATTACCAAGTTTTATCTTTTCAAACAATCGGTTACTAAGATTTAACACATTTGGAATTGACAGATGCCGCTGCTGAAATATCATTAATAATGCTGAAAAAACCGGTAATGAGGGCATTGTTAATGCTTATTTAGCAGAGGTAATATGGTATTAAATATTGCTCACTTTGGTCTTCATTTGTAATGATCACGAATAGAATGTGTGAACGGCTGGAGCAATAATAAACTATCCGTTTGGATTCGCAGCGGTCATTTTTCTCATTACATGGGTAGGCCGAATTCCAACGATAGACAGGTGTGTAATTTTTTTCACATGAATAAGATATTCAGGTAGATTGTTAGGAGAGAAGCTTCATACATGAATTTTACAGAAACCGAAAATGTGAACAATTGAACAGGAATGAATATAGAAAACAAGTTTGTTCATGTGAACAAAAGTTAATATTGAAAACGCTCTTTCTCTTCACGATAAAGCAAATTTTTACGAAATAATTTAAATATGGGTCAATTCAAAGCATGAACAAAGAACTGAATAACCTAAAAAGGTCTTTCATGGAGAATGGATAGGATTAGATGCTAAAGATAGAGTGATCAAAGGCGCAAACAATAAAATTATCACACTGTTTGGAATATACAACAAACTCATGACACAAACTGGTTTCATGAATCCATAGTGATGTAATTTCCACCCACACTGGTGTACGTTTCATAAAATGCTTCATATTAAATAATTTCAATGCATGTATTGAATAATTTACATTAAATGATTACAAGATGGTTCTGTAATAATGAAAAAAATCAATCTCTGTTAGCATAGGTAGGGTTAATGATTATTTCAGGTTTACTTTGTGCATCTGGTAGATACAAGTAAGATTTTAAAAATATAGAATCAGATGTATAGTTTATATTTACATCTAGGTTAGCTCAAGTTATCTGAAACGTTTTCTATTTTCACTAGGTGTCACTTACCCTATTGTTCATAGTCTATTTTTCCACTCACTGAATGCGCGCTACATCTTATGACGCAGTTCACATCAACAATTTCATTTCAAGACTATAGAGTGATCCTAAACTGTCTGTTATGAACATATACAGTAATAGGTGGGTTTTAAATTGGAATCTTTGATGAAGAAAAAAGTGGTGGAAGGCGCAAAATTTGACATCGTGAGCATAAAAAACATCACAGATAGATTCAAACTTTCAGTCCAACATCTCACTAGAATTCAAGAAGCAGTGCATAACGATTATTTTAAATAATTTCAAATAATACCGAATGATATGTTACGGATATTTCAGGCAATAATTCGTTTTATGCATACTGTGCAACTTGCAATCAATAGTTAGACTTTGAAATTCGCGTGAATACTGTACGTTTTTGTTGTATCCTGACTTAAAAGAAATCTAACAAACGTTATTGATATTGTTCTTTCTTTCAGATCAGTCATGATGGTAAACTAACTGTCTATGGGGTGATCGATCGTGAAAAAACTCCAGTAATTGTGCTGACGGTAATTGCAGAGGACAATGGAATTCCTGTTAAATTATCTAATTCCGTGACTGTTACAATTCATGTATTAGATTTGAATGATAACAAACCACGTTTCATTGAGTCATCATCACGTCCACAGTCAGTAAACATGGATGAAACATTTAAGGGAAATTCTGATAATACAAGAATGAATATTGTTTCACCGGCATTGGGTTTTAAGCTGAATCTAAGCTTGGATACAAATGTTGGTACACTTTTGACTGTGGTAAGTTTTTCAAAATCAAATATTATCGTAATAATTTTATGCTCTAACTGGTTGAAATGTGAAATCATGTAAAGTTACCCATCCTTTTATCAGCATTCAATATAGGTGTGATATTTAGCAATTTAAAACACTTTTCCCTTTGTTCAGTGTGTGTCAGCGTTTCAAACAAAATAGTTATTTTCACCAGGAACGTCAACTAAATAATCGAAAGCTTTTTACATATTTCTTCAGTTAATGCGTCAATGTAAAGTATCCTAACTTGTCCGATAAAAACAATACACAAACGAAGTGAAAGTTAGACGTTAAAATGAAGTCCTCGGTGAAATTTATGCTATTCTATGCAGTCTTAACTTACTAAGTGAAAGAGAAAATGCCCTAAACTATTTAACAGCAAATACTGAAAACACAAATGTGCTTCAAATAGATGGACAGGTATATGGTCTCATCAATTTTTATCCTAATTTTTAATTGATATTAATCTAAACATATGATCGTTATGTGGTGTGTGCTATTGATTAGTATGGAAATGAACGGCAAGTGAAGTCTGAGATGATATTTTACAAATTAGGTATTTACTGTATGGTTCTTAAATTTTATAAGCATGTTTTGTAACTTTGTGATCGAATACATTCGATTGTCCCCATTTGTATTCTCGTTCACTGCAGTTATATTCAGTAGTTGTACAGTCTAGACGTGTCCATTAAGAGTAGAAGATACTCGTAAGTTACTAGTATTTGACCACAGATGTCTTGGATATATTGCTCGCATTTGTTGGGATCATCGGGTAAGTAATAGTGTGGTTAGACACAGGGTATCATGGAATGATGGTAACTCAGTTGATGAGATCATGAATCTTCATCGACTGAGATGGTTGGGCCACATGTTACGTATGCCTGAACACCGATTACCAGGACGCGCTATGCTGACTAGTGTAGGGGATGGTTGGAAAAGAGCGGCCAAAGCAAAACATGTCATCAGTGCTTGAAGACACTAACTTCTAGTTTGAGCCATGTTGGTAGATGCAGATTACTTGGTTGTAGTCCAGGTGATTGACGTAAACAATGGTTGGAGACTCTGTGTGACATGGCTCAGAATCGATCACATTGGCGCAGGTGCATACACTCTTTGTCTTCCCCTAAACCTTGAGATTGAAATTGCTTTATATCTTTCTTTCTTCCTGTACTATATCCTTGTATACAATCTTTTTTTATATATTACCACCACTTAATTAACTATTTCTACGAATTAGGTACACATCTTGTTGTGCTAACGAGGTATGGCGACTTGGACCGCTGCATATGTGTGCCTGGCCCTACGTTGTAGCTGACTTTCTGACAGCCTAGACTTAATCAAAATTTTAAAATTATTTATTTATAAGAAGTAAAATAAAATTCTCAATTACGGAATATTTTGATAATCATGTAATATTAAATATTAGGATAAAACAATATCAAACTACTTATAAGTATCATTACCATAGTTTTACTTGATAATTTCGAATAAATTCAGCATTAGATTGATCGCACATAATATTCTTGTTTTGTTCCTTTATACTATTTAAACTTGGATTAATTTTGATTTGATTATTTATCCTCTGAAGAAGTGACTTACACTAAGTCACGAAACATTAGAAAATTTAATTCTTCTACTCATTGGAATACAACAAATATATTATTTTATTTACCTAACTACATCATTGATATTAGTTCGGAAAAAAATCATTATTAATTTACTAATGACTATGCTTCTTTTTCAATAGAATACATTAATCTCATTATATTTCATATTTATCATTACATTATCTTATAAAATAAATCAAAAACTATATGAATGATTGACAGTTTTAATGTTGTGAATTTTTACAGTTTATAAAATTGGTAATATACTTACTTGCGTGACAATAATCCTCATTATTTTTTAGAAAAAATACCCATTACTACTTATAAAAATCTAGAGATATGCATCAGATAATATTCTTTTTTTTCTAGGTAACATATTTATTGTTTAAAATAAATTTAAACAGATGTAATTAAATTTCAAGTTGTGGTAGGTAAATAAGTTAGTTACTACTTTAGAAAAAGTAGACAGAACACAAAATTTATCAAAATGGTACTTTCATTGAAAAAACTATTGAGAGCAGAGGATACTCGTAGAAATTACTCCTATCTGTTTGGATCACTGGGTAAGTAATAGTAAGGTTAGACGCAGGGTATTAGGGAGTGATGGTAAACCAGTTGATGAGGTTGTAAATCTTTAGTGACGGAGATTGTTAAGCTACGTATTATGAATTCGCAACCATTGACTATCGCGGCGTGCAATGCTAACTAGTAATGAAAATGGATAGAAGAAAGTTAGAGGCAACCTAAACCAAAACGTGGCACCACTCAATAAAGTGACTAACTTCTAGTTTGAGCCATGTTGGTAGATGGAGACTAGTTAGTTGATGTCAGCGCGTCTATCGTTACTGGTGGTCGGAGACTCCCTGTGACATGGCCCAGAACCAATCACAATGGTGTTGGTGTATAGACTGTTTTTCTTCTCTTAAACCGTGAGATTAAAATTACTTTATATCTTTGTTTTTATGAACTAATTCTTTCTCCCTGTATCATATCATTATATGAAATTTTTTTTACTACCATTGGAGTGTTTCTATGAATTTAGTGTTCATCTTGTTGTGCTTATGAAACATGACAATTTGGACCGATGTATGCACATGTCCGGCTGATTGACTCATTGAAAAGCAGGCAACCTAATATAAAACGAGGAAAATAGCCCAAATGTACTCAATGCATTGTTTCAATTGGTTTATACATATAATTTAATGTTTCAATGAATTATTGACTTCCGTAGAATTATATGTTATTACCTTTTCCTCTAAATAAAAGCTTAGTGTATAAGTATATCATTTTAATACTTTTATCAGTAACCAAATGAGTAATTTTTAAATATGTATTTCGGTCTATGAATTTAAACTTTACCTCATTTTACAAGCAGAAGGCTATCAAGACTCAGTAGCCAAGTGGGTAACGCGATGGCGTTTGAAGCGAACGGTACTCGATTCGAGTCCTAGGATGAAAATCAACTCTGAGATTCAGGTATATCCAGCTGATGAGTCCTAAATAAGATGAAACACGCGTCCTCGATCTCACTGCTAAACATCATCCATCTTCGCTTAGAAGAAAATATTGTTTAAAACATTATGAAACTTCCAATAGCATTCTTTATTTACTTTAAAATATAAAGAAGTTACTGTATTATCACTAGTACTTTCTCTCTAAATTATGACCACAAATAATGACATTTAGTTATATGAAATTATAAATAATAATCCATAGGGAAAAGCGTATATAAGTATAAGCGTATATAATTAACTTTAGGTTCACTATGGGTATAAAAGTTTTTTCTTCAAATGTAATACATACTTCAGTTCATTGAAATATGTCACCATAATATCTATATTATTCAAACCTACTATATACTGTAGGTAAATCAGAATGTTCATGGGATACTTAGGATATTACATTGACAATATGAAAAACATATGAATTATTAATTTTTTTAAGAATAAATTCAAAATTAATGAATTTTTGTCTACAGAAGTTATTATTATGGAAATGAGTAGTTTAATGAGCATATAACGCTAATTCGTTCTCTTTATTTCAATATACCATCATTATAATTTATATTCATTCAGTATTGTTTGTTTGAATCTTCCCATCGATTTGTTAGGACTGCAACTGGTCAGTCTCTAATTGGCATATGTGCATGAATGTGAATGAATTTAAACTTCACCCCATCGCACAAGCAATTGGCTATCAGGACTCAGTGGCCAAGTGAATAAAGCGATGGCGTTTGAAGCGAGGGTACTGGGTTCGAGTACCAGAGTGAACATCAACTCTGAGATGCAGGTACATCCAGCCGACGAGTCCCAAATAGGACGAAACGCGTGTCCTGGATTCCACTGCTAGCCACTATCCATCTCTTCTTACCATTATAATTTATGTTATTTAATATCAATTTACCATTTTACATGAAATTTCCTCTTTAAAATCTTAACAAAGTTCAATATCCTTTGAATGTTCATTCAATATTCAACAGTAATAATGTAGATTTAGGCCTTCATTATCTAATTTTTTGATCATTCAATAATGTATTATTGTATCTAGGATAATTGATAAACATTATTCAAAATTTGATCACAGGGATATATATATTTATTGTTGGATTTATAAAACTGTTAGCTAAAACATATAATAAGTTTTATAAATAGACTGTTAATGGTATATAAGAAAGTAGTAGATACCCGTCTATAAATAGATTACTATTTTACTGTTCAATTTTTATTTACTTGGATACAATTAGTTCCCTTTATGAATTTGAATAAAATTAAAACAACAATTATAGCAGAGTAATCTTAATTAACTTTATTTCATCGTCTCTTAGTAGCTGCATATGAGCGTATTCATAATAGAGTGTAACATTGATAGATGATATGTAATATGGAATAATCAATATTGATAATGTAAAGAGTCAGAATAAAAAAATCGGGGCATTATTGATATGGTATCCAGAAACTGAGATTCGAGATTCGAACCCAGGACTTAACAGTGACAATAGGACGAAACGGCCGTTTAGTGCTTCCAAGTTTTCCTTGGTGGTCTAGCTTCAATTTACTCACGCTCTCAACTATGAAAATCATAGTTATGATAATATTTGAAGATAGTTGTGATCAAAATCTTGAACTTATCGATAAATTAATTATTATCTATTTTCGAACACATTTAACTGATTTGAGATATTAATTGCAGCTACTTTGCAAATCAAAAGAAGCTGCATTATACTGTCTGCTGATAATTTTAAAGAATTTGGACGCATCATTGTCATACCTATATCAATTAAATGCTAAGCTATTCCACTTTTTAGAATTGATGTACTTCTTTGTCTTAAATGCTTTTGAACGTGCTCTGAAACCTGAACATGTACTGTCCTCCAGTGTATGTCCTTCGGCACGTATATGTAAATTGGTAAGTTCAGTTGGAGGTGCAGAGAAAAGAAGACCTGCTGATTTTTGCGTGTCTAAAAGAGCAATTTGTCCCACTAAAGCTAATCAGCTTTTCTGCTGGATATGCACTCTTTATTGGTGTATTTATTCCACTAATTTTATCTGCTTTGAAAGGAATTCTTTTTATTTGTGTTTACTGCATACGTTCGTAATTGTGGACATACTTCTCGATGAAGTTAGGTAAATATATATGTTCATGAAGATATTTGTCACTTGTTTTAAGTGATAAGATAATTCTACGGATTGCGTTATTTGTATTGGCGCTCTTCCATAGGGCTCAAAACCCATCATGATATTAGATACATACAAACTTTAGAACAACAGGAGCGGTCGCTAGACATTTCTTTTTGTCTATTCGGTGGCATTTCGACTTATTATGTCCAAATTTAAATATTAGAAACACGATTTAATACTTTATCAAAGATGTCTACTATTCTGCGAATGAAAACGTAAAGCTAGGAAATGATGATTGATCCGCTTTTTGATTATAGATGGGAGGTATTTACGATCGTAAAACCTTTAAATGCTTAAACTTATAATAAACATGTAATCAGTATAGAAATTTATTTCAGTATTTTATATTTTGATTTGACAATTACTGTGGTACTTCAATGATAGGCCAGCGGAAATATTCACTCATGTAAACTAGTTATTCCAATTAATCACTGAGAAAGATGGAGCTATACTATAAGTAAATAGTTATGAATAAAAGATTTATCGACGCACTTTCGTTACATTCAAATGAAACCCAATAGATGGTTAAAATTACTAGCTAAAGTGAAAAAATCATAATAAAATGATATTGTTTGTCGCCTGGATTGTCATGTATACAGTTGATCGATCTTTGTCTGATGTTATCATTTTGACTTTTTCTTCAGTTTGAAGCTTATGACCCAGACAACGGTCCCAATGGAACTCTGGTTTTCGATATGGCTTACTCAGGAGCACTTGGCTTATCACATGATGTTAAAAATCTAAAAAGTGGAAAGTCTGATGAAGATAGTTCTGATATGCCCACATTTACTTTGCAGCCAGATGGTCGTCTTCTCTTGTCTAAACGATTAGCGTATTCCGATATGATATCACCCACACCCAATAGTTTTCCAAAGAGATATCGTAGACCAGATAGATTGCTTATACGTGTTTCAGATAAAGGACCTACCCCAGAACAATCGGTTACAAGTTTACAAATATTCTACTACGATCCTATTGATACAATACATAATGCATATTCTGAGAACTATTTTGACATGGTAAATGCAAAAACCGATGTCAACAGAAATAGTGAATACGCTTCAGTGCATCAAAATAAAGAAATCAGTAAAAGTAAGCATTACGCGTACAAACCAAATCGCCAGGCGTTTCTAGGTTCAAGTGGAGGAGGTAAACCTTCATCCCAGTCATATAAAAGATCGGAACTAACTCATTCCAAACCATATACATTACCTGCTATGTATTTGTTGGCTTTAGCTGTTTGCTTGGCTTTAATACTTGTGATAATTAGTTTCGGATGCTTTTATGTAAAACTAAGAAGAACAAGTATGACAAATAAAAGTGAAGAAAAATATGGTAAGTCTGTTATTGTGTCATTTAATATATTTTCTCTATACTAATTAATGTTATAAAATGTTCAAATGCATTATTCATACGGTCAGTTGTTGAGTTATTTTGATGTGAAGAAAAATGTGACGTAGACAGTAGCCAACTATGTAATCAACCAAATTATCACCAGAATAATGGGAACTGTTCGTCTACCTTAGCATCAATCAGAACTCAATTATTGAATTAAATGTCTTTATTCAAATAATATACATTTGAAAAGATAGAATGCGTATATGAGATCGTCGATTGTTTCACGTTTTTTGAAGCAAATTCGTTGACGTGTATACAAAATACTTCGATAAATTTGGATAGATTATTCTGGTTCTTGTCTTTTGGAAGAGATGTATGAAAATGTGATTACTTATAAAGGTACAATTTAAGATATTATATAAATGCAATTGTAGACAGATACCAATTTTCTTTCGTAGAGCAGATATGACAGGATGTAAGCTAAAGTTTGTCCTCCTTGAAATCAATTTACGCTACGTTTTTATAACTACACTTACTAATTCACGTATACTTTCTCTTCCCGTTTTACAAAACCGGTAATTATTTATCGCATAAGATCATCCATGAGATCTGTGAAATAAATGGTTTTATATGATGAATTAATGAGTCAATATTTGGTACATTTGACAAGCATTATCGTTTAAATGAGCTTGCTTAGCAAAAGACATACTAGCAAACATCAGTGGTATTCAGTACAGTAAGCTGCTTTACTCCTTGTATTCTTATGCTGTTACCAGGAGGTACAGCATAACTTCTTTAGTTTGTCATTATCAATCTTTTTTTTTACTTCTGAGTGCTTATCTTTGGATCACGAGAGGTTTTCTGTCTGCACCTGTCTTCAAGTAATAAATCCACTTTTACACAACTTTAACTCGAACCAACAGACTGATAATATATCCAAAGAAAGATAAGTCAGAAAGGTAATTGGAGGGAATTCCCAAACATGACACTGTAAATATATAAATAAGGTGCATTTATCCGGAGATACAAATCCGCATAAAATATTTTAACCGAGAAAGTTAATTGATATTCATAGCCTAGTCGGAAAATAAGGTTTCTATCAGTACACTAGTAAATTTTTGGACTTTCAAGCTTAAAATATGAATGAATTCGATAGATATTCAGTAATAACGTATGGTCACATTCCAGTCGTCATCGTCATAATGATAGGAAAAGCAAATACCTTGTAAATAAATAAGTAAACTTTTCATGAGCTCAACGAAAGAATGGCAACAGTGAATCGTTAATAACATGGCACTAATTCATACAGTTATTAGCCTCTGTTCCTTTTTACATCAACTGAAAAATTTCTGGTTTATGTACGTAAAATAATCTTCGTATTTCATTCCAGGAGTTTAGTAAAATAAGTACATTGTTTATTATGGAAATGAAATATAGGATATCAGTGTTTAATAATTATTTTTTGGACTCATTACTTAAAATAAGTGTAGATTATCTGGCTATTGAAAAGAGTTTATAACTATAGCTGTTAAGTTGTCGTTATAATTAACTATTATAAAGCTAATCTCCTTCCATTTGAGATATTTAAACAACTGTTCGACAAACCAGGAATAATGAGATGGTATTAAGGTGATTTGTTTAGCAAGCAAAATAAGAATCAAGGTCAGTAGTAATAAATAAAATGAGTGAAGCAAATAAATCATTCAAGTGTTTAGATTACTTTCGTTTTTCTGCCTATTAATATTGTTTTCACCTTTCATCTTCTTGATTTTTAGATAGTATAAGTAAGAGCGAGATTCATACTGATAGTTTAATCAACTGTAAAAAAGTAAGTCGATTTACTTACTATAAATATCGGTATAAGTATATCCCTTTTTAAATTTACTCCACACATTATTATAGCTTAAACAATACTTAAATAATGAAAGGAAATTTTTAATTGTATTTTTTATGAAGATTGAATCAACTGTGAAGTAGCTTTTGTTACTGTCTGAAAGCTGAGGAACAAATGAAAACTAAAAATCACCAAAAAGCTCAACAGATACATAATAGAGAATGAAGAGTAGACGTTTCATTTCTCACAACTAGAACAACATGTTTAGATTAGTAATTATGAGGTGTGAGGACTGATCTAATCTTCATAAGCAATACGATTAGGCAGTAGTTCTACAGTCTCGTATGGCTAACTTGATAAGTTGCCTTTAAATTTTTATTTCAAATTCTTAACTGATCTACCGAAATAGGTATTCCAAGTACATTGTAATGACCATCCTGAAATATCAACAAATAGTTGTAGTTAATAATATTGGTTGATGGGACCTGACTGATTGATCGATGGATAAAGTATTTATAGTGAGGCATGCATTTCTGGGTTTATTCACTGGTAAGGTTGTGAATTCAAGTTTTATAATAAATTTCAGTATACTGGCATCTAATGTTAAATATATTACGATATAATGTTCCAGTAACTCAATCTGTAAAATCATTTAAACTTTCTATTGTTCAAATATGGACTAGAGTGTTGTTATGTAATTCTTTTATGTTTTAATATTTTATAATTAGTGTCATTTAGATTTGTTGTTCATTTCAGAATAACAATGGTGACATACGTTTAGACAGCACATTAACAAGTCATTCGAATAATGATGAGTCACAAATAAATACTGGTTCTCAAAATAAAATATTTTCTGATTTTGGCATTAGTACAATTAATTGTAGAAGTTTATCACCAACATACATTGTACGAGCTTATGATCACATCAATGTTGTACCTTCTAATGATCCTCATACCAATACAATTATGTCCAGTAAGTTCCATTGCACTGATTTTACTGCATGATGGTGTTAATATATTTTAACTTTATAAAAATTGCAAAATGAATAGATGAAGACATATTAATTCATTAGTGTAAACTAACTTGACGGCTAGAAACACAATATCTTGACTAGTTTTCATAGTTGCTAGAAACATTTAGTCGATGTTTATTTTAGTTACAGACTACTTACGACTATTAGCTAAAAAAAAGAACTATAGAAAAGTGCTAAGAATAAAGAGGAAATACACAAATCTTGATGAATAAGTGAATGTGATAATACAGTACATTTGATACTACTTGATTTCTTATTTCTTGTTTGCACAAATAGGAAACACACGCAGTGTTGATTTCCTTAAGCTAAGCCCTATATCACATCATGACACCAATAAGGGCGAAGTAGATATTACGGCAGTGGCTACTAGTTTGTGATTGATCGTTCAAAATATTTCCTTCCAACAACAGGCCAATTAGTTCCTTAGTAGCTTAGTGGTAACTTTTCAAACTGTGATATTGTTATATCCAAACGACAAATAAATGAATGGTAACTGCTAGGAATTATTTATGGACTATTATTACATATATTGTCTTTAGATAATTATTAGGTAACTAGATTATATATATATATATATATATATTTATATTTATATATCCGTCACCATGAGTTGTCATTTGACTTATTACTGGTATACGATTTACCATTCTTACTTATTTCCAATCTCTTGGTTAATCCCCTATACTAACAGTCACTTTTGACTTGATATTGTGGAATTAATATTTTTAATTTTATAGTTAAATGCGGTCTGATCTGCTTGTATATAAACCATGTGTCTGAAATATACAATTCATATAGCGGAGACTGTTATTTGTATTCTGTATTGAACGGGCTGGGCTAGGTGAGAAGGACTCAGAAATGACTAAAGTCTGCTAGAGCTGTCTGACACACCACTGGTTTAACACAAGGACAAGATAATGGAAGTTGGTGTTATGCTTAGCGAATTTGTCACGTGATACCGACGAACCATAGGACAGATATGGTTGAAGAAAAGGTTTTATAAATAAGCTTGTTGACCGGATTTCCATTATTAAAAGTCATTGGAACTTTCAGATTGAATTTCACGAGAACCTTGTACCTTTAAAGCAGATTTGTTTAAATATGTAAAAGTGATGGGTATTTTAGATAAAGAAAACAATTCTGTAAGTGAAATTCTTTCACAAGTCTCACAAATGATTATTTTCAAAATAATATAATTTCTAGGATTATTTTGGTTATTTTACCAATCATAATAGCTCTGATCTGTTTGTTTTTTGAAATATATTGAGAAGAATTAATTTGTTCTAAAGTGTCGAGTTAAAGTGTCAAGTTAACCAGTAATACCTATATCTTATCAGGACAATTTATAAATGAAATATTAATCTTGTTTCTATTTCTTGCTAGTTCCTCATTCCACGATGGACAGTTCCGATTACACTCCATTATCGATTAGTCAAATAAATTCTCTACAAAGCTCATGTTTATCTCCATCAGTTTTACAGAATGATTTAAACAAGCAAGTGATCAACAATAATCAAAGACGGTTCGAAAATGCATATTTGCTTAAACCATGTGATTTGTTATATGAAGATCAAACATCACCGATGTTATTTAATCAATTAGAGTTATATAAAACATTAAATCGACAAAAGCAGTACAGTAAACTGTCAAATCATCCAGTCGAAGTAATAACTGAAAATACGTTCGATGAAAAAGATGATATTAGGAATATTGGTAAAATATTCCAAGCAAGTATTTCAGATTCCGTTTCAACGTTTATCGATTCTAAATGTCAGAATAATAAACCTACCTTAATGAGTTTTGAGGGTAAATTAGCTGATGCACCTACCGATAACAAACATAGCTTTAAACTGAATCAATTACTTCCAGTTAGTAAAACATCACAATTGTCATCGTCAACGATTACCAACACCACCACCAACACAAGTAATGATTGTAACAGTAACAAAGATAATTTTTCTACAATTCAGAAACCTAAATTCAAGTTATTTTCTACGAAAAAAAATGAATTACATAAAAATAATACCAATATTGATAATTATAGTCGATTAAAAGGCGGTGATTCTCACCTGGCTGTTGATCCTAATCAAATGACCAATAATAAAAATGGAAATTCAAATGGCTTACCTCAAATAACGTCTTCATTTGTTTAATTCAATATTTTATGTAGAACAAGAACCATTTACATTGTCTAATATCATATCTTTTGTGTTAAAGCGACTCAATAAACTGTATTGTTTCTGGCTCAATCAAATTATACACGTAGGAACAAATAATGTGATAATATCTAGAAAATACTTTTTCTGGGGTAATTATTTCTTCGATTAGCATGATAAATCTGTGAATTTTTTATTTGTTCCATGAAATCAAGATTTTGTACATATATAATTTTGTATATATATATATATATCTGTTATATGAAAATGAATTAAATTCAAAGCATTTTATTAGATAATTACAAACATCGTTAGATGCTGTCTCAGTGGTGTAGAGGTTGAACGTTCGCGTGTGAGAAAAATAGGTCCTGTATTCGAATCTCGCGAGGAGCGATCGTGGTTGCGCACTGTTGAGGAGTCTCATACTAAGACGAAACAGACGGCAAGTGCTTCCAGGTTTTCCATCATGATCTAGCTTCAATTGACTCATGAATTCAACTAATAAATTATAAATGTAGTATTTAGTTTAGGTATTCCAAATTGAATATCGTCTATTTATCAGTTACTTAAGGATTATCATTCATAAGATGACTAATGCTTTATAGAACTCCAATTAAACGTAGCTCGAACAAAGTAACAAAAAGAATACGTATTAGGATTAAAATACTTTTTCAGTGTTTAATGAAAATGAGATGTCTAGCATTTTCAAACACTTCTCTAGTCATATGATGTGTCAATGTTACATATTGGAGTGTAATTTTCCCTGAGGACTTTATTTCAATAATCGAAAGCAATCTAAATATCTTTAGTGAATACGCTACTGTAGAGCATCGTAATTCGTCATATGTAAAAAACAAACAAATAAAGTGAATCTTAAATGTAATTCTCAGTGAACATTTTTCTCTTTAATGCAGGATTCAATCATTAAATGAACAGAAATATGTTAGATAATCCATACATACTGAACCATGAGTAGCAGATATATTACGAACTTATATGCATATCCTTTTTTGGTAACATTTGGATAATGTGATAAATTGACTGTGCTACTGTTACATTCTTCTCAGTTGTGCATAAACGAATTAAGTGTAGTTATTTCAAAATATCAAGAAAATTTCCAATGAAGGAGTGAAAAGATTGTCAAAGAACAGAAAATGCTAGAAAGATAGAACTATTACGAAAATAAAATTAAGATTTTTAACAGTTTTTTATAAATAAGTGGATTGACAGTTGTACAATATTAGAAATGACATAATTACGTAAAATAATCAAGATTTATTAAGGATATATGGAAATGAGAGATAAATAAATAGAGTTGAAGTCATTGGACTGTAATAACAAGTAAATTGGAAATAACGAAACTGCAAATAAGTCATGCTTCATTTCTGTTACCGAAGTAGTCAAAAGATGACCACGGACTTCTCTTGAATATCAGTCAGATTTTAGCTTCATAGTTGTAATGACTAACAAACCGCAGTGTTATAGAATCTTGTTATTTAAAAAGTATCTCGGAGGCGCTTGTTTTTTCAGTTTATTTTCCGTGTTCAGTAGACAGCGCACAATCAAAATACGGAAATTCTTTAATACTTTGAGACATATCCTAAAATATATAAATAATAACTAAAAGTAAATAGTGAATCAAAATGTTTTTGACACAAAAAAACTGAAATCTGAAACCTACATCCGAAATAACTTACTAAATAAAATGTTTAGGTTGACTTTTCATCCCTAATCATGTCTTGTTTAACATTTCTAATTCTAAAATAATGCTTAGACTGTTTATCTTTTAGAAGTGACTAAGCTTCCTTAACAAACGACAAATTATTATTATCATCAACAAAAGTTTCATTAATGTATATTCATAGTTTCATTGTTGAATGAAACGTGATTTGTTATTACATAAACCCATCATTGATATATACTATAATCTTAATTCATTTCAAATCCATTGTATCTCTTTTGTAATAATTCACATTAAATCAAGTTAATCATAGCATCCAAATGTCAATTTTCCATATAAATCTTCCATAAAAAAGATACAGATATATAAGTAGTATATTTCAGCTTATTTCATTTGATGTATCTTTTAAATAATAATTTTTTTTCTTGCCTTTTATTGAGAAACAATTAAAGATAAATAATTTGGACTCAATAAATGATTTATTTTTTTCTTATAAAATAAATAAATAAATAAATATATATATATATATATATATATATACGGTAATATAACTAATTAAATCATTTTGATTCTATATTTTATAAAAAAAATTTTTTTCTTTTATTTTCTTTTTTCTACTTTTTTTTCAATATTGTTTATCTTATTTTTCTTATCAGAGTTTTGTTTATTTTTTTATTTTTTCAATCTACATTATTTGTTACCCGTTATGTAATTCCATAGATTCTTTTTCTTTTATTGTGTATGTTTGTTTTGATTATTTTGTTGTTGCTGTTGTTGTTGTTGTTGTTGTGATTTTGATGTATCGTTTAAAAAAAAGTTTTTATTTCTATTTACAAGTGAATTGTCACATTACTTTAAATCATATATATATATATATATACAAAGAATCACGCATGGATAAGAATAGATAATTTATGTTAAACATATCTGAAATAAATTTATTGAAGCAGTTTTTTTTCTACAAACAAATAAAGGTTTACTGATTCGTAATTTACAATGTTTGAATCATTTATTGTTTTTCTTTTAGGAATTAATTAAGAAAACAAAAAAGAAATTAAGAGAGTTGGATTAGATGGAACTTCTATTATATCATAACGATTTTAAAGAAGTTAGAAGTATTGAGGAACACAATATAGTTACTTATTAGTTTATTTGTAAACTGCATGGATCATACTATTTTTTTTATTAGGAAGACGAAATACAAAATCCGGCGAGACTATAATTTATGGACGACCATTGAACAAATCTTAAATGACCTAGAGAAATATTATCCAATCAATAAACAGTCAGCATAGAGTAAAATATATTATACAAAACAAAAGAATTAAATTGGATGCACTTCTTTTATAAGGTCCAAAAACTTGTCAACATTAGAAAGGGTTTGAAAGCTTCTAAAATCGTAATGCATAAGGTAGAGGAACTCATCTATATGACTTCATAACTCGGTCTCTGGAGATATGATATAGTCACAAGAACCCCTTTCATACTCGATCACATAGCTTCAATATTATTTGTGTGTACTCCGGTTGTGTAAATTTATCATTTTTATTTTGAATATGTCCCTACAATACTAACATCACTGAACAGCCTGAGTTTCAGTAACATCTGCGTATTTGCAGCCAATTTTACCGGTGCTTTTATTATACAGTTTGCGGCAATTATTATACTATGTCTTAGTCTCAATCTGGATAGAGCGAAAAATGTTCCTATTCTAGCAAACGTCTTCTTTCAAAATATGTAACATCGAAGGACATCACGGTAGTTTGCACAGTGTCTACAAGCCATTTGATTACTGCAATTACAAATAAAGGAACTTCTTAGTAATCTCATTTATTGTAGCCACTTAATTGTCAAATCTTCTCTAAAATTCTCTGTGATTCAATCGTAAATGAGTACAAGGTATTGAAATTGGCACCGTGACCTTGAAATCCCTTGAACTCTTCTGATTGGCTTATCCATAAATTATAGTCTCGCCCAAAAACCTGATATTCTAAGTTAGCCAACATGAGTTAGTTAGTAGAGAAAAAGAAATTGTAAAATATTGGGTATTCGACTACTACCAGTGTATATAAGAACCAATTGATAACAAGAAATTACGTACATCTACATAGTGTAGCTACGGCAGATGTCATTGTGTTAATCTCTCATACATCAGCAAATATCATGCTCAACAATACGATAAATAAGAACAAAGAAATGCATTATGCAAACCTCAATCGGTAGTACTAAATTTTAAGTGAGACCAAGGCACGATATTCATTCAGGAAAACTGTTTGGGACACACATGGAGATAATATCTATCATAATTTATCACCGTACTTGTCGCTCTTCTCCAATGAGATAGCAGAGTGAAACTATCTATGATACCAATCAGAATGTGAAAATCTGTAAAAATCCACCACTTCAGTATATTTTCCAAGCTTCGAATAGTGTTTGTGAAGGGTTATTCAATTTCAAAGAACTATCATGATTTACGTAACATTTTATGGTAAATCTATCTCTACACCATGTTGAACTGCCTAGTTGGAAGTTATTCAACTTATTCTTGATTAGAACAATAAAACTGAACTCTATTACTGATTACATAGCCTCTTCTTGATGTAGATGCATTTGCTTAACTTAGAGAGACCTGTCCGACTCAATCTCATCAGTACTTAATGACGACCATGATTGATTTTCAAAGACCGAAACTGTCCTACGACTAGATCGAGACAGTTTTTCAGATTTTTCATTTGAAACGGTTGGCGCTATTAGTCCCAATTCACGTTCCTGATTGAAGTTGTAAAAACCTAGAATAAATTTGAGCTATCTAACTTTTCATACATTTGTTTGTCAACACCATTTGTAAGAGCTAGAAAAATGTGTGATATATAAAAACTTTTGTCTAAATTAGAGCGAATAGTTTCACAGTATTTGAGCGCCGAATTGATGTAAGACATCAAATAGGAGTAATATAATTGTAAAATCTCAGCAAATGAATTTGGAATAAATCCGACATTTCGCCTGGCAATCTGGTCCAATCTGGTCCCTCGCTGAGATTTTACAAATGTTTAATATAATTTAAAGACCTATTAAATTTTCTACTAAAATAAACTTTATTTTGGTAAACCATTATCATCAAGCTCGCATAGGTTATTCTAACTTTCGGATAGACCAGTCTATCCATTCTTCTCATGCCACATATTGACCTTGTCACTTATTGACTTATTAACCCCGACTGTTTCTTATATGATCTTATATGTGTTATTTACGTACCTTATTCCTTGAGTTTGTGATTTTCGTCTGAATAGAAATATTACTTAGCGCTTGATTTAAGTGACAGGGATCAATCTCCTTCTCCACTGTGCGTCATCTTGCTTCACTATCTCCTTCATTTCTCTGATCGTCTGCCTGGATCAACGTTTGTATGAAATGTACGTGTTCACAATCAATTCTCGTATTTGATTTATTTAATTCCGTTATTCAGTAACGCGAGTTAAGTCGATGGATATATACAAGGGTAACCAGAATGCATATTTCAATGAAATTCATTCATACGATCCAATTAGAGTTACAATAATTACTACGAAATATCCTAGAAACGAGACTTTCCTAGCTTTTTCTTTGTAAATCATTTAATTTCTCCAAAAAGACTATCTATTTTTTACTTGACAAATTAATATCTTCATACTATAAACAAAGTTTTCTTTTTTCTTTAAAACATAACCTGATTCAATTTTACGACATAACAAAAAAAATTACATA